AACTCAGCTTTTAATTCTAAAGAAATTGAATTTGAGAATAGATTAATAGAGAGAAACTACAGCTACTAGAACCATTCTTAATAAGATGAAAGTGAAAATCTAAAAATGAATCTATTGGAAAACTTTAAGATTTCAATATTACTAGATTAAATTGACACAGAATAGCGTTTTAAAGGAAAAATCTTGAAGGATCAAAATAGCGAAGTAAGGAAAATACTTAAAATTACTTCCTATAGGTTATGGCTCAGATAATGTCTACTTATATCAATTCTGAACCTAATGTGAAATATTCATCTTCATTGAATACTTTATTTGCATTCGTTGCCACACAACTGGGGATAGGAATTTTAGCAATGCCTTGCGTTATACTTGAAAACGGAATCGTTCTTGGAAGTGTATTAATATTTGCAGGTGGATTCTTAAACTACTAGACCTGCTCATACATTGTCGAAGCTAGCATTGTTACATAGAAAAAAAAGTTTGAAGAGATCTCAGATGCAATTCTAGGACCATCAATGAATAACTTTATTTCAATGTCTATTCTTGCTTGTCTTATGACAAACCTAGTTTCCTATATTTGCTATGTAAATAATTCAGTTCATGCTTAATACCCCAAAATTTAGTAAAAGGAAGAAATACCAGCTATAATTGTTGATTTATTTGGAAAGGAAAATTTACCATACATCCTAGATGATAATTAAACAGGACGCCTCTTCTGGGCAGCAGTTTTCACAGTAAGATTTCTAATTATTATAATTTATTAAGTTGGCGATTGTATTTCCACTCTCTTTGCCAAGAAGATTGAATGCCCTAAGCCATATATCATCTTTCGGTGTATTGTGCTGTGTATACATTTGCTTGATTATTCCGTACATATTCATATTCGATAGATAGCAAGTGCCTTCTCCAATTGAATCACTATCTAGAGCTAGCTTATTTAAGGTACGTAATAAAAACTTTGAAATTTAACATAAATTTATAGTTTTCTATTAATGGAGCAATGAATTCTTTCCCCATGATATTTTTCTCATTCTGCAATTAAGCTAGCATTCCAATGATATACAACGAAATGAAAGATAAAAGTGTGACTAAGATCAAAAATATAATGATTTTAGGAACTATTATCTCCTCACTAATGTTCCTATCGATAGGAGTATTTGGTTATTTGATATTTATTGATGACGAAGAAGGAATTAAAAAATCAAACATATTGCTTGCTAACTTCGGGGAAAGTAAATCAATATTATTGGTAATATTTTCTTAAAATTAATTTTATTAAACAGGCAAATATCACTTAGTTTCTTATAATATGCGCTGTGAGTCCTCTCTATGTACTTCCATCAAAGGAAACTATCGAATAATTATTTATTAAAAGAGGGAGGATGAGCTAACTTCAAAACTTGATGTGTACTTTGGGAATTTCAATTATTACTCTTTCTCTTGCATCTTTTATTCCATCGATTGGAGATGCTATTTTCATTGAAGGTTACACAGCTGATCCAATGGTAATAATCATTAAAAAATTGAATTTTTTCTTAGATTTCTTATATAATTCCTGTCATGTTTTATTTAAAAATGCATCAAGACAAAGGTTTCTTCTCAAAGTAGAAGATGATCTCTGGATTGATATTGCTGTTCATAGTCGTTGTATCAGCCCTAGGATTACTATAATATATACAAAATAAAATAAACTATTGAACTGGCAAAAAAATCAAAGCTTTTGAACCATGCTATTCAGAAATATAAATATTTAAGCTATACAAGTCAATTATAATAGAAATTTTAACTTTTATTTAAAAATATATTCCTTCTAAAAATAATCAATTAAATTTTATGGGGTTTTGGGGTTTTGGGGTTTTGGGG